CTGGTTAGGTCCTGAGGGTGCCAGACTGGAGAGGATTAACCTCTGGGTGCATCTATACAGCACCCTAAACTCGAAATAAGATACACAATTAGCGCAAACTGTGTATCTTATTTTGAAACTATTTCAAAATAGCTTATTTTGAAATTTGGCATGTCTACACAGCACCAGATTTTGAAATAACGCGCTATTTCAAGCCATCCCTTATCCCTTGTGCAATGAGGTTTATCGGGATGGCGAAATAGTGCGCCCGTTATTTCAAAAAATATTTTGAAATAACGGGTGGCTTCTGTAGATGTGGGGTAGCTATTTTGGGATACCAGAGGTATCCTGAAATAGCTGTGCAGTGTAGACATACCCTGTAATAATACCTTGAATATGGTCTCCCAATTAGCCCAATAATTTAGTAGTTCCATTTGTGGGACTAACACAAGGATACAAAAATGTTTAAAAAGTTTAAGCCAATATAGTGTTGGGAGGTGCAAATCAGGAGATGCTAGCTAGGTAATGATTATAATGCTTATTTAGCTCTATAGGATGTGCCCTCGTGATGTTATCCAAAATATAATATGAATTTATATACTAACACATGACAAGAAATAAAAATCTGGGCCAGGCATTTACATATCCCTATTTCTAGCCTTAGGATGTATGTAAATCACTTCTTGAGGAAGCAATTTGATTAAGTATCTTCAAAAACTCAAATATCTTTAATTAAATATTAGTAACAATTAGAAAATAGTAGCATGGTCAACGCTTTTAATCAGGGCTACATTAACCTGGCTTTTATTTTTACCTGATGACTGTTTGCTCCTTCAGCTTCTGTAATTGGCAATGGACAAGGCACTGAACTGAACTTTTCAGTTCAGGAAATGCAGGCTACTGGTCAGAGCAGGGAATCTTTGAGTCAGGGCTTCAAAGGACTTGAATTCTCCCAGTTCTGATCCTTCTCCTGACTCAAGTTAACTTTCTCTGCTCCAGGCATCCAGCATCATTTTAAAATTTCCCTTTACATAAAAAAGTTGATTAACATTTTCTCAAGTTAATTTAATGGATTAAAGCCTCTACACGACCTTTTCTCCAACTCATCTGATGAAGTGGGTTTTACTTAGGATACATTCTTATATTTAAAAAACAACAAATGGTTTGGTAGCACTTTATAGAGTAACACTTTATAGAAGTGGCCTATGCCCATGAAAGCTCATGATACCATCTACATGTTTTGTTACTCTATAAAGTGCTACCAGACCATTTGTTGTTTTTTAAGTTTATCCTGTACAAACTAACTTGGCTACTCCCTGAAAATACTTATATTTGTTAGTCTCTAAGAGTGTCTACACAGCAAAGTTATTTCGAAATAACTTTCCTAGCATCTACACAGCCAAACCGCTATTTCGAAATAAATTTGAAATAGTGGAGCGCTTATTTCGAATTTGGTAAACCTCATTCTGCGAGGAATAATGCCAAATTCGAAATAGCTATTTTGAAATAAGTGCTGTGTAGACACTTATTTTGAAATAGGGGGCCTCCAGCCTTCCCATGGTGCCCTGGTGTCCACTCCAGCCTCAACCAAGAACTCTCCATTCCCTCCATCCCTCCCTGGAGCCCTTAAAGGGGTAGACTCTGGCCACAGTGCCTGTGCCAGCTCCAAGCCTGCCAGTTCTGAGCCAGCAGTCGGCATTCACTGCCCCTGACCCAGTGGCCTCAAAACATAAGCCAGCAAGCCACTGACAGCGGCCCCTCCACTGCTCCCTTGGGTGTCCATGGCCAGCTCCCAGGAGCCTGCCAGGGCCCGGAGAAGGCGGGTACCTTCCTGGTCCAGGGTGGAGATCATGGACCTTATTCAGGTTTGGGGGGGATTTATCTCCGCACTAGACAGAGGAACTTGGCCATCTATGGCAGGATAGCTGCAAGCCTGGCCACCAAAGGCCACATGCGAACCCAGGAGCAGGTTTGCATGAAAATCAAGTTGGTCCGGTGAGATCCCCACCCTTGAGCCCTGAGCTTCCCCTGTCCCTTCTTCCCCTTGCTTTCCCCTTCCATCTACCTCCTCCCAGGTTTCCCCCTCCCCTCTCTCACTCTCTCTTCTCCCCTCTTCCGCCTCCTTTCCCCTGTCTCACCAGAGTTTCATTCCCTCCCCCCTCAGTTTTGTTAAATAAAGAGAGTTTGTGTTCATGAAAATATGTATATTTTATTTGACGTCAGGAAGGGGGGTTAGGGAGGGGTAAGTGGAAGGAATGAGGCACAGGACCCCAGTGGGGCAGACCAGGGAGGCTTTGCAGGGTGGAAGCTCTCCCACAAGGCCTCCTGGATACTGACAGCCCCGATGGACTTTCCGGATGGCAGCTTGCAGAAAGTGCAGCCAGGCTCTCAGCAACACATCCAAGAGTGCCCAGGGGCAACTCTGGTTCCACGTTACAGAGTGCTGTGGTGTCCCGAATGAGGGCAAACAGAGGACGCAGAGACAAAATGCTTTGCTGTCTCTCATCGAGGTAGACAAGCAAGCAGGGAAACCTGAGAACTGGCTGTCTGGAGGGGTCCCTTTAAGCACAGACCTCAAATAGCCTCAGGCAGCAGCCACACACAGTAAGTCCTGACCTGGTGCCCTGCCGGAACTGGTTCCGGCCAGCCTTAAATGCGATTCAGAGTCCCCTCAGTGTAGATGCGCTATTTCGAAATAGCAAACTGCTATTTCAAAATTCATTTTGTGTGCAGACGCGTTATTTCAAAATAAGCTATTTCAAAGTAACACTGTAGTGTAGACATACCCTAAGGTGCCACAGGACTGCTCATTCTTTTCAGCATATTTCACTTTTATAAGCTATATTATCTGTTACTTTTTACTAGCGATGTATCAGAGTCAAAGTGTCTTAGAATTATTATCTTGATAATCAGTGATCCTTATGAATTTTTCCCTTGGCTTTGTCTATATATAAGAAATGTTATAGAAGAAGAAAATGCAGTTGAAATAATTTGTCTATGTTATTTCTGTGGTATTATTTCTATCACTGTGCTGTTTAAGTATGAGAGTATCCAAATTGTCCTACATACCGTATTTTCCGGCGTATAGGGCGACTGGGTGTATAAGACGACCCCCTATCTTTTTAATTAAAAGATAGGGTTTCATCTTATACCCCAGCGCCCCTCCGCCTCCTTTGCTCCCGGTGTCCCTGGTCTGCTGGAGATGGTCCCCAGCAGACCAGAAGGGGCTCCGGCGGGGGGGCAGCCCATGCGCGCCTGGGATGCCCC